TAGTTGTGGATTTGTAGGAGACCTCTCGGGTTGTTGAGGACGATATTGCATGTACAGGTGGAACCATTGGGATTGATACTGTTGATAAGATCTCGGAAATGACTGGTTGTTGCGATATTGGGATCATTGAAACCCAGAAGATTGCTGGTATGAGTACGACTTTGCTGTCTTACGGATCTTATGGATATTCTCCATGGTCTCATCTGTTTTGAGGTTGAAGAGACCTGTACCATTGAAAGGGTGATCTTCAATTCATGATTTAGTTTCAACTGACATCATGGAAGATCTTAGCCAGGCATGGCATCGAACAGAAATTGAGGAGGCTAAGGTTTTGGATGCAGCTTCTGCTGCGTGTCTCGCTGCAATTCTCTGGTGCTTAGCAAGGGCTATGGCTTCAGAGTGAGTGTTGATTAGATCAGTTTTTATTGATTCTGGTGCTGATTCAAGGAGTGGTAGGACCTTGTTCCATAGGTAGTGTTGGTATGCCCCTATTGCGGCTTGGTAGTTGATATTTCTCAGAAAGAATGACTGTAGAGAATAGATCCGTCTGCCCAGGATGTCTATTTTTCTCCCCTCTTTATTTACAGAGGTGACCTTGGATCTGTTGTGTCCACGAGACTGACTGGATTCTATAATGATGGAATTAGGCAGGGGGTGTTTATTGAGGAATTCAATTTCAGCACTGTGAGTCTTATAGAGATTGTCAGTTCTTCGCAAAAACTGCATCATGGAAGGAGGCTTGTCCCATGTTTCTTTGATGAGTTTCAGGATGGATTTATTGAAAGTCAAGCTGAGTGGAGGGGATCTCTCTTGGTTGATGTCGTCGAACACTGGATCTGCCTCTGGAGATGGTGGCTCTTCAATGTTCAAATGTAGTGCTCGAGCCATTCTGGATATAAGTTGAGAATATGAAGAAAAATCCTCCGAGGGGGAGAAGGGATGAGTATCCCTCATGTCATCAGGAGGGGTAGGGAGGTCTGGATATGAGTGGGACTGAACCTCAGAAAGATCGTTGTCAGAAGAGGGGGATGAGCTAAGCAATGATGGGTAGCTTGGGTCAGCGAAAGGACGAAGAGGCTCATGGTACCATGGTTCGTGAGTTACTGTAGGCTCCGATGGGATTTGAATGATGTGAAGTGAGTGAGATGGGATCGAATGATCATGCTTCTTGGATTTCGATGTTGATTTAGGTCGTTTAGATGGTTGATTAGGGAGTGATGTCAAAGCAGGTGATACGGTTTTCTTAGACTGATGTCAAGTCTTCGGTGAAGATGCCTGTGAATGATCTGTAACGAGCCCGTTTCTGTTGTTCAGAATGATACCGTTCAAAATGAGACTGCCATAGGGATGGGTTGAAAAACTGGTATGGCATCATGGGGAATGGGAAGTAGTCCCCATATGGCATAATGGGCCTTGATGGCGAGATATGCTTTTGCTTTTCCACACACTTCCTAGGAGAAGGAGGAGGTGTTTCAGGATACAATGCTGAACTTTCAGCTGCCCGCCCTGATGGAAGGTTGGAGTGAGCCGAGGCCAGGCTGGTGCCCGCCCTGATGGAAGGTTGGAGTGAGCTGAGGCCGGGCTGGACAGAGGCGCAGCTGCAAAGAGGCCAATGTTCGGTGTTAAGTTTGATGCCGTAGTGGAGGTTGTAAGTTGTTGAGCCATCCCCTGTTCTGGAGGAGTCTTCACGAGAGTCCCACGACTTCAATTCCGGACAATCTCTGTTTAGCGGTAGTAGACAATCTCTGTTTAGCGGTAGTAGACAATCTCTGTTTAGCGGTAGTAGACAATCTCTGTTTAGCGGTAGTAGACAATCTCTGTTTAGCGGTAGTAGACAATCTCTGTTTAGCGGTAGCCCAGGAAGATGACTTAGCGGTAGTAGACAATCTCTGTTTAGCGGTAGTAGACAATCTCTGTTTAACGGCAGACTTGGATTTATCTGCAGGCTCTTTTGGCAGCAAAACGGGCACCCTGGCTTCAGGAGTGGGCTGGCCAGAAGCGAGCGTCTCGCCTGAGGAAGTGAGAGATCTTACCGCCTCCGTAGATGGTGCAGGAGGGTTCATCACCACTTGCCAAAGGTAAGACCTCAGTCTTTGCAGTCTTTGTTTTAATGCCAGTCTGGTTAGATTTTTGCAGGCAGTGCAAGAGTGGTTTGGGTGATTTTCACCCAAACAGAAGAGGCAGTCATTGTGGCCGTCCAAAAGGGCGATTTTATTTGCACAGGAGATGCAATGTTTGAAGGGTGCCTGAGAGGCCATAAGAAAGGGAAAGAAAGTAAGGCGAAGCCAGGGGGGGAATCAAAACAGTGGGAAAACAGAGAAAAACACAGCAAAATAAATGGAGGGGCAGCTGATTAAATAGTTAAGAATAGGAAAAGATCAATATAGAACAGAAAGAGAGGGAAAAACTTCTCAAAAAGAGTTGCAGGCTAGCTCAGTCTTTCCAGAGAACTGTACAACTCGGTGGAAAAAAGGAACTGAGAGGAGTGGTGGGTGGGAGGAGCATGTACCTCGTGGGGGAATCACACCACGAAACTGTTACTTTTAGCTCTGGAATCTTCCGGGAATGTCAGCGCAGGTGCAGACAAGACCCATATGTGTGCATTCACAGAGGGCACGAAGAAGGAGAATCTGTTTATTTTCACTGGGCTACACTTTTCCATTGCCTCATAGATTTGATGCTACAATTAGCCTCTTGACATCATAAGGCTGGAAGGGAGATATAGGCTCACAGAGCAGAGATTCTTATGTATTGTGCATAATCATTATTTGCTTGAGTTCATCGAATATTCATCCCTTGAAATTACAAAAAAGAACAATGTCCTTTGTTAGGAAAAATGCCTGATGAAGATGCAGCCGATTATTAGATCATCTCAACCTCATGCTCAAAATCTAAACAAAAGGTGATTTTATGTACACTAACAAGACTTGACATAAGGCTATAGTGTGGCAGTAAACGCTGCAGTCTTTCCATGAGGGATGCCCTTTCTTATAACCCCATTTCAACCATGCTGCTTCCTCATCCAAACATTTTTGCCAAAAATGTCATATCAAGTCTGTTATGAGTCCTAAAAGTCCCCCCTTACAGTTTTCCTTACAATGCACATAATCAAAACATTTATGATGTAACACAACAGGAAAGTTGATACAATCTTCCTTTCACACCCTCCCCATTTCTTATACTCTACTACAGTATAAGATTCAGGAATTAGCATGTACCCTACATTCTTGTGTTTCCACATGTGACGTTGTAACTCCTTTTCTTGCAACATAGGTCTTATTAAGCTCTGGAGGGCAACAAAGATGCTTTCATGAGCATTCAACATTCTGTCCCTTTCTTGGAAAGAAATTTCAAAGCTTTGAGTGGAACTGATAGTCACTTAATTTATCAATTGATGACAAATTTACTGAAGCAATGTAGTGCATAATTACAATTCACCAACCCTTTCCAAAAAATAACACTGTGATATTTTAACAACTGTTTAACAGAAGAACAGAATGAAAAAGAAATTCTAAAACCAACTTTTCCACAGATTATATATGTGACAGATATCTGAAAACTGCATTTCCTAATTATATCAAAATTTTAATCTGGAGATAATCTCCCAGGGCTATCTATCTAGGGCCTATATGCGGCAAGGAGAGATTCAGGTTAATGAGGTACCATTTTCAAATATTGCATTCAACCTTTGACATAGTCTCCTCATATTAGCTCACCTTATCCTTATGGTATTAGGCAAATTACTTGTTTACTGTGCTAGGCAATTTTAGATAACTATTGCGCCTGGTTTTTATGCTGCACTTAACTGCTATTTGTCATTTATACTTTTTAATTCAGTGTTTTTATGATTTATAATTGTTTTATTTTTAAACTAACTTGAAAACTATGTTGAAGGGCACTGTAGAGATCCATAAACAAATAACTGATTAAACTTAAATATGTGTATTTTAGAACACTGCTGCATGACATAACTTTCAAGTACTATCAAACAGAATCTGGATTAACAATTCTGTTCCCTGTAAATTTGACATATAACAAACAGTATTAACCTGGATTATGTACTGAAATCTATTGCTGCAGGGCCTATTGCAACATATGGCAGCAGTTTGTACAGTGCCTAAAAACCTAGACAACGTACAAAATACAAAAATAAACAAAAAATTTCTTTAGTATTTCATCCCTGTTTAGACAGAAATGTGGCTGAAAATTAAAAAAGCTTTGGGAAAGAGAAGGCAAAAAAAAATAGATGGGAATTGCTGAAATAAATAAGTCTTGAGATTTTTTTAAAGACAGAAAAACAACATGATTATTGCCTGATAAACGAGTTAGGCAGATAAAGAGCAGTAAGACAAAAAACATAGACTCAAAAAATAATGGAAGAAATACAAAGGTTAACAAACTGCAAAGAAATGGTGGAAAAAAATGATAACTACTCAGAGAATCTGAAAACAGGCAACAAGCAGAAGCTAGAGCCTTTGAAGGCAAGTAATAGAATCATACACTGAATGCAACGAGAAAAAAGTACCCAGCAAAGAAAAAACCAAGGCAGAGAAACATGATCAAAATGCAACCTGGGAATAAGAGCCCTGGCATTGAATGGAGTCAACCAACTAAAAAGGGCACTATAACAATCCATCTGGGACAAAATAAAGAAAATGAACCAATATTTAGGCTGAAGCAAGAGAAATAAAATTGTATTTGACAACTGAAAATGACAAAACTTGGCTAGTGTTGAAATTGGGGGTGGGGTGGGGCTGAATGAAAGAGGAGAATGCCATAAACCATCAAGACCTCTAGCTTTAGAAATAAAAGTAATATCATCATAAATGAATGAAACAACATGGGAAAAGAAGGGTTTGCAGAGAAAATAAGAAAGTCTACCCCTGAAAAGTTTAGATAAATAAACAGTAATCAACTGCAGCTTTTGCCACATTTATATAATGCCATGTAAGAGCAGAAATATGGCCTGACACTTTTTGATATCCAAATACTATACTTACCCTACAATCCCTCTGTAGTGTTTTCATCAGTGCACTGTGAGTTTCTGAGTCAAAATATAATCCTTCGTGCATATCTTGCAAAAAATCCAAATCTTTAAAGGTAGGATTGGACTTTTCTCGCTCTTTTCTGGAGGCCCTTCTTTTATATGTAGAACCTTTCAAGTCATATGTGAAATGCATCTTCAGGGCTCGAGGCAGAATATTGTTCATCACAATTATTCTGATATTAATTCCCCCTGATTGAACACAATAGAGTCCATAAAATTTTGGCAAGAGTGTCCTTGGATTCTGGTTGAGATTCTTTAAAATATAAAACAAAAAAGAATTAATTAACATTTACTACAGATATTTCTACATGCATGTAAATATAAACGGAGAAATAATTTCTATTCCAACAACCAAGACACCTACTTTTATAACTGCTACTTGGGTAAAAGACTCCCCCCCAAAGCACTGCCAAGGACTGCATTCTTGTACCCTATTCATATATTAATTAATAAATATATTTTTGTATTCGTGAAGGCTTTCACGACCGGGATCTAATGGTTGTTGTGGGTTTTTCAGGCTCTTTGGCCGTGTTCTGAAGGTTGTTCTTCCTAGAGTGGTCGTAAGACCGGATAGGCAGGATATAAATAGAATAAATAAATAACATTTCACCAGTCTCTGTGGCCAGCATCTTCAGAGAACCATCATAACAAGGCCAAATAGCACGAAAAACCCACAACAACCATAAAATATTTTTGCTCCACATTTCTCTCAAAAAAGGACCCAAGGAAGCTTACATTATTAAAAACACAATATTAAAAGCTAAAAATAGTAAATTATTGAAGTATTTAAAAAGAATTAAATAAACATTACACTAAAAATATTAGGTAAAAGCATTGCAGCAGTACCTCAATTACACTAAAAATATTAGGTAAAAGCATTACAGCAGTACCTCAGTTTACGAAAGCCTCACTTTACATAATTTTCAGTTTATGAACCAAAATCCATAGAAAATACTGCCCCAGTTTACATTCTTTTTCTTTTCTGCTGTATGAAAGGGTTTCCAACGCAATGCGCCTGGAGGTTTCTAGTGCCGCTCCCATTCCTAGCGCAATCTGTGTATCGGTTTACGAAATTTCCGCATGACGTAACATCCCAGAGGATGCATTAATTTCGTAAATCGAGGTACGCCTGTACTAGAACGGATTTAAAAGCAACAAAAATATAAACCACACTGTTTTAAAATTTCTTTTAGACTTCCCACCACCTGCCTTAAAGAGTCAAGCATTACACAAGTACTGACATTAAACACATTGAGCAGCAATCAGTTTTGCCATCTTAGCGAACTATTTCCAGCTGGTTCCAAGTCCTGATTTAGAAGGAAATCTAATTAACAATAATGGAGGTGAATGTCATTGCTGATACTATGCTTCAGTGCATTTATGACACTTTGAGAGGACATTTTAGTGGCAAACAGAACTGCATAGGATTCTGTAGCCCAACTTTTCATATTCCTGTTCTGCCTAACAGCTCAGGAGAATTACTTGAGCATCAACTGCAAGCACTATGGAAAACCTGCAAGCTTATATACTCAACTGGCAAGAAGAGTAAGAAAGGTTTTAGAGCACAGCAAATAACATAATTTACATTTAACAGACCAACTCTACAACCTGCTCTACCAACACAAAAATATTTGTAGGATGGTTTCCCAACACCAATGCAACTACAAAATGCTACAGAACAGGATTTTACAGAGGTGACATACTAGCATCAGGAAAAAATGTTATGATCAAATAACTTTAAAATTAAAAATATCCATTATGAATATCCTGTATGAACTAAAACAGGAGTACAAATTTTGAGGGATAAAACAGTATTTAAAATTCACAAGAAGATGAGGCAAATGTTGAATAAACAGTTGAAGAGCTAAGAATTCATTCCCATACACAGGCATGCGTGTGTGCATACACAAACAAATACACACAAAGGAAAAAGAAGAAACCAAATAGAAAAAGTTGAGGACTGGGATAGATTTACCATATAGTAGCCAGGCAACAGCTTCTGAAGGAACTCGGCTTCTTTGTGTTGAACAGTTTTGATTATGAACTCATCATCACTAGTGACAAAGAACAAAGATCCACTAGCACCAGGGTTGGATAGTTCTATTAGAGGCTCACTGCAAATTGAATACTGAAAAGAAAGACAAGAAGAAAGTTAATGGCACAGTGGACAACAGAAATAAAAGTCAGTTTTTCAAAAGTAGGATAAGCATGAATTCAAACTTGATAATTTAAACATTCCACAATACTGTACTCAGTTGCTTTGGAAACATTATGACGATAGAGATTTTGTGTTTTCTAAACATTCTTCTATTACATGGTATGCCTACTTTGTCAGAATTGTCATGCCAGTGCTTTTAAGATGCTATTGTTGTAAAAGTCTTCCTGATGAACACTTCTTTCATAGGCCAAAATCCTATTGCTTAGTGTAGTCGATTGTGCTAGAGTAGACCCGCTGAATCAATGGTGGTTTGGTGAGTCAACCCCTCTATAAGTTCAGTTGTTTCAAATGGGCCTACCTAATTGCAACTTACTTTAGCACAGTATATTAGGCCTATTTGAATCAATGGAACCTATGCAGGAGTTGACTCACTAAATGCCCACTGAATGGTCCTACTCTAGTGCCATTAACTATACACAGAATCATAAAATAATGGATTAGAAGGGGCTATAAGGTCATTGAGATTAACCTGCTGCTCAGTGAAGTAGCTTTCTCTTTAATGCCTCCAGTGTCGGAGCGCTCACCACCTCACATGGTAAATGGTTCCATTATCGTAGTACTCTAACAGTTAGATGTATTTCCTAATATTCAGCTGAAATCTGGTTTCCGTTAACTTGAGCCCATTATTACACATCCTGCACTCTGGAATGATTGAGAACACATCCTGCCCCTCCTCTGTATGACTACCTTACAAGTATTTGAAAAGTTCTATCGTATCTTCCGTCAGTCTTCTCTCCTCAAGGCTAAACATGCCCAGTTCTTTCAATCTTTCCTCACAGGGCTTGATTTCCAGTCCCCTGATCATCATTGTTGCCCTCCTTTAAACCTGTTCCAGTTTCTCTGCATCTTTCTTAAAATGCAGTCTCCAGAACTTAAAACAAGCCCTAACCAGTGCTGAAAACACAGGAACTAGTGCTTCTCATGGTTTGGAGACTGTGCTTCGGTTAAAGCTGCCCAAAACAGCATTTGCCTTTTTTTGCAGTTTCATCACACTTGGCTCATATTTATGATCTACAACAGTTCTTTAGGAATGTATCTTTCTTATGAGGAATATACCTTCCTCACAATGCATCTTCCTTATGAGGTACATCAGTCTGCATAAAACTCAGTACAATCCAGAGACTGTACAAGAGCACTGCTAATTTCCTGAAACACCAAGCCTCTTGTAACTACTCTCACCATGTGGTTACATGGGACTAAATTTAGGACGGCTACACTGACAAATACAGAAAAGGAGCAGCTGGAATTTAAGTAACAAAACAACATTTTATTAACACTGGGTAACATATGATTCTGAGTTCTATTTTTTCATACGAACCAACACTGCTATGAAAACTCAATAATAATTGTGAAAACTTTCTATACAGGTTTGTATATCTAGCAACATTACAAAGCTGATCTGAACAAAATAAAAATGATCAACATACTAAAAACCACGAAGAAGACACTAAAATAAAAGCATTAAAACAGAAAACATTATATTTAAACAATCAGCATTATAATATTTAAAATAAAAGGCTCAAATCACAGTTTGCAAACTGGCCATACAGTTTGGAAAAGCCTGAATAAATGTGTGCCTTTAACAGGTGCCTAACGCGGTCCACATCTAGCGTGCTCTGATTATTATAAAGAGAACATGCCAAAAAGTAAGGGACTACTGCGCAGAAGGGTTACTTCTAGACTGCCACCACATGAAAACCTGCAGGTTATGAAGCTACCAGCAAGGCCACCACCTCCAAAGTCCTTTGCTATCACACAGTCTGTAACAGAAAAAGGTGATCTGCCAGCAGATTTAGATTCTAAAGCCTCAGCAATTTACAACAAACGTTTCTTAACCGTTCCATCAAAGAGATGATGTCAATCTCAGGTGGGGCAACTGAGAATAAATATCAGTATCACAGATGTATTGGTGTTCATAGACCTAATTAGAGCAAACATCAGTTATATTTAAATTTGACAACCCAAACTACCAAGCGCGTTTGACTACGTTAATAAACTTTCAAAGGAATCTAAGCTAGTGTGCAACAGTAAGGGACAAACTGATCTTGTCACCTCGGTCCAAACTTCTAAACCTCTATCACAGCAGTCAGTACTGTAGTGGAGCTAGAGTTCACAAGGGCAAAGCCTCTGGACTTTCTGAGCAGCAGGGACAGTGACATCATCTGCTGCCGCCACCACTGCCATTTTCCTGTTCCTTCTGAGTTCACCTGCAGTCCTCAAAATAGAAGCCAGGAAAACAAAAATTCCCAGAAATAGTACCTTACCTTGTTGCAATCTTTGCAAGCTATTCTTTTTTCCAATGAAAATGAGATGAGGGTGGTCTGGCCTTGAATGCACAATTGAAATCCATCAGCTTTGCAAAAGACCCACTCCTCTTGTGTTGATATGGACTGTTCTTGCTGCCTGCATTTTTGGACCCTCTTTATACAGGGCTGCTGGCTATGGGGACAAGCACTTGCGCTTCCAAGTTTACCACTACAATACTGCTCAGAATTCCATATTAAATGCCAGAAATTTTTTATTCTTTGCAGTGGATAGTATTCCTATGAAAATATTTTATTTATGTAATTCTTAAGTTCTGTATCACAATGTCAGCTATAGTCACTGAAATGGTCTAGTACTTTTGGAACTGCAGCAGAAAAATGAGGCAGGTTTTAATTCATTATATTTCCCATTTTTTAAGGTCTGGAAAATACAAGCTTTGGAGCAAGCAAGGATATTGCATTAACTTTAAGCTATGGTTTAATAACTTGTCTTGTTCCAAAGCTAGTAATCACTGTTTTCCAGTTCAGATAAAGTGGGAAAGTATGGTCATTTGACAAAAAGAAGAGAATGGTAAACCATTTCTGAATACTATCTCAAAAACCCTGGAAAGGGCTGCCAGAAGTTGGAATCGACTTATGGCACGTTATTATAATTGCTATCATTATTATACAAAGAGTGGAGGAATGAAAGGCTATGTCCTGGGAAAAGATTTGTGTGTGTTCGAAGTAAAGATGGGAGTATTCGTATAGAAATATGAATATCTCTGCACAGGTGGCATTACAAAGGTCCAGCTCCATGGGGCCGGACAGTCCACTCACCGATCTGCCACAGACGCAATTCTACCCATGGCTCCGCAGCACGCTATCCGCTTGCCACTCCTGGCAGGAGGCGGGAGGACAAGCCTCACTGCAAGGTCGGAGAGTGGCAAGGGGATCGTGCACTGTGGAGACATTGATAGAATCACACCGTCCGCGTCGGATCAGTGAGTGGGCCATCCGGCCCCATGGGGCTGTACCCTCATTTACGCCACCATGCGAATACGAATACCCCCCTCTCTAATTTGAATTAATAAACCAAGGTAAGGTTGCACAAATGGGGCCACTATTTCTAGTCCAGGAGATGGCAAATCAGGATCTACTGGCAGATCTCAAGATGGTCTGACACTAAGCGTCTTTCTGCTTGAGAACGTAGCATTAGACTACAGTTACTCAAGAACTTTGGATGTATTTTCTCATCTGCTACCACTTTTAATGTAATATATTTATTTCATTTCATATGGTATATTATATGTACTTCTATCTTGACTGTTGTTATAACGTCTGCATTAACTAAAAAACTGACAGTGTAAAAGATGATATTCAGACTCCTTGCCAACCAAAATTGCAGGTCTTACAATATATTAGCCCTGCCTATAATAAGAGTGCTATATTAAAACAAAAAGAGTCCACCCACTGCTGGGAAGTGCTAGCGCAACACAATATTGCACAGATGGTGTTGCTCTTACAGCTATTCGGAACAGGCTGCCACACAGAGCTCTTCATGGGGCAGTGCAAGCCATTCCAACTGCACTACCCTCTTGCCGAATACAGTCTTTTCCCTCCACAACAGCTTGCTATTTATCTGGCCCAACTGACCTGCTGGCACATGTCTTTTTCTATCACTGGATGAACATATAAATTGAGAACTACACAAGTATGGTGTAGTGGTATACTACAATGGTAATAGTGCTTTTCCAGGTCAAGGTTACAATATACAAAAGCAAATATTTATATACTCTGGTAGGCAATTACAAGGCAATTAACAGATAGAGGTCCCTCAACTAGAATTCAATCAGCAAAATCCACAGGAGTATTTAACTGCAATTACAATATTGCAATAGAAATAATGACTTGAGCAGCAACTATACATTAGTAGTTGGGCTCTCAATTAACATCAAATTTTAGGGCAACCAATTAAAGGCTGAATAATTAAATGCTTGGACAAGAACGAAACACATACATGAGTTAGAAAGTGATCTCACTCTCTGCCCAACCTGGAACCCATGTATTTATTGTGCAGATAATGCCTACTAGGGAATTCTTCATAGTCGGAAATAAAAGAAGAGATGACTTGGACTAATTATTTCTGTCTATCAAACCCAGAGCAGAAAATGGTGGTAAACAGAACAGTCTTCCTCAGCTTGAAGTCAGATATTGTCACTTAGAAATGAATAGCCAAAAATAGTGTTCAGTCTCATCCTACACCAAAATGTAACCGATACTCCATGCTTTTTACAGGAGTGGGGGATAAATTCTTACCAAGTAGTCATCAGGTTTAATGCCAAAAAGTTCTCTGAAGTAGCGGAAGGCTAGAGGAGCGTAGGTCTTAAATCTGAAGTCTGGGTAATGGTGAGCAGGGGTCAGGTTGCTCCCTTCGCTAAATTGAGAGAAGGAATTGAAGTATTATTACACAATACACTTTTAAAAAAATAAAAAAACATAAACCTTTTCAGACTCTGCCCATTCATCAAAAGGAAGAAGCTGGAACAAATCAAAAGCCACTTAATGTGACAGTACACTTATCAAATCAATATATTATCAAGACTGTTTGAATTTTCATACAACTCTTTTTGTCCCTTTTTGACACAAAAGTGGGTCAGAAATAAAGTACAGTGGTGCCTCGCTTTACGAGCACTCCGTTTGACGACGAAATTGCATTACGTTGAAGATTTTGCGATCGCAAAACGATGTTCCCTATGGGGGAATTTCGCTTTGCAATGATCGGTTCTCTGTTTTGGTAACCGAACATTGCAAAATGATGATTTTTGGCCAGCTGATCAGCGGTTTCAAAATGGCTGCCGGGTGAAAAACATGGCCGCCCCCTGTTTTCTGGCACGGATTCCTCACTGCACAGGCAGTGAAAATGGCCGCGCTATGGAGAATCTTCGCTGGACGGTGAGTTTTAAGCCCATAGGAATGCATTAATTGGGTTTTAATGCATTTCTATAGGCTTTTTAAAATCGCACGACGTTTTCGTTCGACAGCGATTTTTGCGGAACGAATTAACGTCGTCATGCGAGGCACCACTGTAAGAAGAAAATAAATATATATAAATAAATTCTAATCCAATATAATTCTTTCCTAGAAGAGTCAATGGCTAGAGCCTAATACTTAAAAAATTAACTTAAAAATATATTTCATTAGACTCAAGGGGCTTAACATTTCAATAATACAGTATATATAAAATTGATATATATGTCAATCATCCAACCTCATCAACTGTTCAAACTATTATTAATACCATCCCTTCAAATACAATATACTTTCAGCACTGTCATGCACTCCTGAGAAACAACTTCTGTTATATCATGAGCTTTTAACAGACAAAAGCTGTGTTTTTGTGTGAACAGTTAATGGTGCAGGAGTAAAAGAAGACAATACGTTGATACCAATCCATTAGAGCAGTGGTTCTTAACCTTTGTTACTCAGGTGTTTTTGAACTGCAACTCCCAGAAACCTCAGCCAGCAGAGCTGATGGTGAAGGCTTCTGGGAGTTGCAGTCCAAACACATCTGAGTAACAAAGGTTAAGAACCAGTGCATTAGAGTAAGAAACAAAATGAACAAAAGTAATAAAAAAATTAAGAGACATAAACGTGGCATCTCAAAGACAAAGTGCTATATTTTAATGAGCTTTCAGGGTTCAAGTCTGTTTCCTCAGACATAAGAGTGTGACTATATAACCATCACTTATACTACATGTCCTCATGACCAGGTGGGGATACAGCTGAAAGTTGTGTTGGTTGGTTAGTATAGTAGACAGAAATTACAAATTGTGTGAGTCAACATAGCTGGATAGCTCAGTTGTTTAGGTATCTGATTGGGAGTTCAATCCCTCACTGTGCCTCCTATGAACAGAGACAGCTCTGTGTGGTCATGGCCAAGCTATCAGGGGGCCTCCAGGAGAAGGGAATCGTAAACTACTTCTGAGTATTGAAAAACCCTGAAAAGTGTTGCCATAAGTCAGAATTGACTTGACAGCACATAATGATGATTAATAACTTAAGACCCCTAATTGATATTCAGTCCTTTTAAAAGTTCCTCCACAGCATGAGGAAGAACTATGTACAGACCCACATCCATCTTCCTCCCAGAACCATAGAAAGAAGAACTCTATGTGGACTCCTACAGAGTGTCAGAACAAACAACTAGACTTCTACATTTCACCACTGCGCCTGAGATGAGATCATCAACAAAGGACGTAATTTCCCATACAATCTCAAACAGAACATGATGCCACACACAGCCTCAAAAACAATCCCAACATCGTCATCATCAAAGAGGCAGATAAAGGCAAAGCTGTGGTTGTCATGGACAAGTACAGATGTGCACAGGAAACAGAGACAATTCTCCAGCTCCTAACTACAGATCCAACAGCCTAATATGAAAAGGAATTGCAAAACTTATGAAAGATGTCCCCGAAAATATATGTGACCAAATCCTGGCTGACACATCACAAGAACCTTGACTAACTACCTGATACCAAAAAATACACAAACCAGGCAAACCTGGTAGGCCTATTGCATCAAGCATCCATACTTGGTCGAGTAGACAAGATAGGCGGGGTATAAATCAAATAAATAAATAAATAAAAATACTATCACTGTTGGGGTGTCAAGATACTTGGACTCTGTCCTCAAGCTATATGCCACTAATGCATCTAGTTACATAAGAGATACTACAGACTTTCTAAGGAAATTGCAGTTTACTCAACCTCTCTGATGACATCATCTTAGACACAATAGATGTAAAAGCTTTCTACACTAATATCTCACACAGAGACGGACTACAAACTATCAGGAATACCAATCAAAATGAGGACAAAGCCCAAAGGCAAAGGGTTTGCTGGATCCAACCAATAGTCATGCTGAGGGAAGCAGGATCTGGGCCTCAATGGGCTTGTTCTCAGTGCAGAGGTATAAGCCATTCCTGTCGCACAACCCCTTATGCAGACCAATCAAGAGGACCTCACTGATGAAGTCAAGAGTGGGAACCCTTCCTGCAATGGCTACCATAGGGGTTAAAGACTCAGAAGTGAAATACTGAAAACTTTAAACATAGGCAGTGTTGGAAACTAGTTCAGGGTTGTTGATATTGATGAACCCTCTCCTGTTTTAATAAATCCCATTTTGTTGCAAACTCCTTCATGACATTGGCATAAAGAGAATAAAACATAACCAAACTAATTCATTAAGTGCCCCACACATACAAAATCCAGGAAGGAGGAAAGCAGAAGACCAAACTCCTTCATCTTCATTTATGGAGCACGGAACTGAGGAAGGGAATCTTACCAGCCTGACAAGGGCTGGCGAAGGTTACACAGATGAAGAGAATAAGCCTATAGCTCAGAGGCCTAGGGTGCCTGGCTGCAGCTCTCCAATCCCCACTGTGCCTCCCAATAGATCCACCAGTGCATGTGCAGATGGGGATACATGCTATGTCACCTGTGTTGCTTTGGCAAGCTGCACAGTCAAAAAGTACCACGAGAAGGACAGACTGGATGTTTTATACTTAGAAAATCCTGGAAGGGTGTCATATGTCACAATCAACTTTAGGGCTCATAATTATTACATTCTTTTTCAGCCACACCTGGATTCCATGGAAACAGTGAAAGGAACAACTATGCACCAAGCTAATCACATTGCTATTCTGCTTTTTTTTTTATGTGTGTTCCTATTTTGGCTCTAAGTGCTTTCATTTTTGTCTCCTTTTCCCGTTGAAAAGAATAAGACTAAGCAATGGGACCTCTCTGTGGCCATATATTACCTTGAATTACAGACTTCATTAAAGCAGTACTCTTTTGTAGATGAGTGTAAACAGCCACTGTGTTGGTATATAATAATTACCTGGGAGTTCAATTAGGCTCTCTTTTACAAGGCTCATTAAGACACACAAAAAGTGGAAAAGAAAAGGGAACCTCATGAGCTACAAAATAGTTAACTATGTTGTGTGTGTTTCAGTTGTCAATTCTTGCACAACTCCAAATATATCCATATAAACAGCCAGCAAGAACCTGAAAATAAAATATGCTTTTTCACAAATGGTGCACATCATCTTATTATCACAACTTCAGACACCTACATATTGCTCCTGAACAACTAAGCAACAAAACAAACTGCATAATACAGCTTATCTTTAGCCAAAGGTGGACTATTCTCATAGTCTTAGGGGCTAAATCCTAAAGACTCATTGTTGAGCCCCAGGATCTTCCATAGGACACATCAAACCTGAAAACAACCAATGGTCACATACGGGGGGGGGGACATGCATGCCCAGATAGCAATTTCTGGTTTTGATGGTGGTAGGGAGGCTTGGGGTACCACCCTAGGCTGCCAATGCAAACAATACTGCCCCCGGAGACCTCCAGAAGTGAAAGCAGCCGTGCTTTAGAGAGCAACAGCAACAACAACAACAACAATAATGAAAGAACACAAGGCCAACATGAGTCTGAGCTGCTCTTTGCCAAAATGTGCAGTGCATTGAATGAAGAAGAGCCCTATCTGCCTCACACAGAGAGCCATCTGAGCTGAGAGAAAAGGAGCAATGTAGTAACAGAAAGGCCTTCCAAAATCCTTGTGGCTAGTGATAAAAAAATCAGCAGAGTGGAGAAGGTAGAAGAGGAAGAAACACACAGTTCTGGACAAAAGAAAAAGAGAGGGGAAAAACTAGGAGAACAACTCCATTACAGCATAACAGCTGTACAGAGCTTCTGAAATGTAGATTCCCAACTGTTCCCAGTGTTACTCTATCACCCAAAGTAGACCTCTGTCCTCACATGAACTTTATTTTTATGCTACTTCTCATGGTTTATTTTTAGCCTTTACTGAAGCTACAAAAGAAAGTTTGAACTGTGCAACAAAGTGAGGGAAGCTCAGATTATGTCATAGTGTTGTCTGTTTGTTTCAGCACCACAGACTGTAGACTCTGAACGAAAGAACCATGTCTAATTTTATGTTATGTATGCTTTTGATTTTTGTTTAAATAGGTTTCATTTTGTTTAGGACACAAAATTGTGTTTGAAGTTCTTCATGGATTCAGCTTTAAAGATAAAGACTACAGTATTTTGTTAACATTGTAGCTAAACATTCTATGTGCAGCATAAGGGGAGGGAAGCAAACTTGTGGTCCTCACTGACAGATAAACCTTTGGATATTTCAGGCTCACCCCTGCCATCCAGCTCATCCCCTTCTGGGGACAGCTCCTTCTGCTCTGTGTGTAATTTGCACAAGAAAAACCCTACTCAGACGCTATTCAACCTGGTGCTGACCATATTTAGCCAGGTTTTCCAGATTTTTCTCACTGGCTCTGAAGAGAGGTTCCTGCACACATGTAAAGTCTACACATGAGCAGGTACCTCTAAATGGGGTCATAGTTGCATTCTGCAGAGCCTTCACATGGGCAGAACTGTTACCCCTTTCAAACCCAGGACTAAAAACAGTGAAGCATGTGACCATGGAGGGGGCAGAGCTAGGTGCTTCCCTCTAAATGGGGTCATAGTGTCAGGTTAAATAAGGCTAGAAAGACAAAGGAGAGAAGGTAGAGAAGGGGCAGGTAGCTGTGGGAAGCCCTGCCCCCTCCATGAGGAGGGGCACATTTAACCTGCCCATCTCCATAGCTAGGTATAGCAATGCTAGGCAATGATAAACTGAATTTAACCTTTATTGTGTGAGAAAAAACATGTTCTGGGAAATTAGCTACAGTACCATCATTATATCACAAGGTCTAGACAGAATTTACAGTATAACCAGGGATCAAACCTTTGCCTGAGGTTTCCCAGTCCTGGGTCCCTTGACCATACTAATTCTTTTCGGATACTTGTAATTAGGACCACGTTTCACTATCAAGTTGTTACAACATGGCCCCATGTTTGAAATAGGAGTCAGGTGCGCCTGCCTCGGCCTGTGGTACCAGGCAAGGTATGGCTTGATCCTAGTCTGGAAATGAAGGACACAAGCTGGATAGAAGGAAAGTGGCTACAGGGTTGGTTCAAAAGAACATTAGTTCAAAGTTGTTGCAGCATCAGAGGATGGCAGGTTGTGGTGCTGGAGGGAAGATATGAACAGGGGAGCTTGAGTGGGGGAAAGATATACACTGGAGACATCACACACAAGGAAATGAAATGCAGAGTGGTTGCAGATGAAACTTGTCTGGTAGTTTGCATTCCTCTTGGCTGCTTGTTCAGCTGGTTCTGTACAGAAAGGGGTGCTCCTCTCCCTACTGAAAGCCATTCCAGTCTTTTATGGGGACCTTGATCAGGCCATCTGGTGGCTGATTGAGTTTCCCCACCCTCCCCTCCCCCCCTTCCTCCCTTGTTTCTTCCTCCCCTGTTGCAGTGGTGATAGTGGATTTACTCAGATCTGCCCCTCCCTGCCTGCTGCAGCTACAATATTCCCATATGTGAAACCAGCTGCTACAAAGCGCTCGGTTATGACATAGGTTCTGGGTACCATACAGACAACAGCCTGCCCACTCTTTACCAGGCACCAGCAAACAGGAACCAACCAGATAAGTAGGCCTCACTGCTTCACCACAGTGGAACATAGAGAGAAAAAGCTACGCAACCCTGCTTTGCTGGAGGCTCCACTCACCATCAGTTCAATTCTTTAATTTGTACTAGAGGAATAATAGCTCTTCATACGAAAAATGCCCCCGTCTTCATGTAAAATTCTCTCTTCTGTGCACATAAGAAAGTTGCAACAGATTCATAAGCCATACTGCCATATTATTGTAGCTATCAAATTCACATCTTAGATGAAAAAAAAATCAACCTCCTTAGATTACTATTCTAGATTACAAACTGCATTAATCCAAATGTACAACTTTCCTGATATTGTTTCTATGGTCTTGTCAAGCAAGAGGTATTTGCAATCTTCAGACGCCACTTTCAAAAGTAGTTATGGGAGGCCCCTGGGTGTCTCCACATTATAACTATTTAAAACGTGCACTGAGAGTTCTGCTTTAGTTTTTTTAAAGCTATTATTCATTATCTACCTAGAAACTTCAGAGTGCAAAATACCTAAACATAAAGATTATATGGTTATGTTGACTTGTGATTGAGTATTAATATTCTCTAAGAAGCAGATGTTTCAGTGCCAGCAGCCTCTTGCAAATGAAAACAATGTGGGCTTTCTTTAGAGTGATAGAAGAAGCCAATTTCATCTTCCAGTATCAAATCCACTAGTTAAGTTACACAACGCTGTCTACAGAACAAAATTTCATGAAAGAAAAAAAAAAACACCCACCCTCCAACTTCTACAAAGGCATCTTTGGTGTGCAGTGCAAATCCACAGAAATAATATGGGAAATTATTGCTTACCAGCACGTGCTTGACAACAGGGCTACCAGTGATAGGAACTAGGGAGCAGCTAGTGGGGTAATTTTCCTTGAGCCCTTTGGAATGAAGGGGCCCTGATTCAGCAGAAGATCCATCTCCCACAACATCTCACCTGTCCCAGGCCCCCATAAATCCTCTAGTAAGCCCTGCTTGGGAACTCCTGAATAACCACATACCAATAAAACAAAACAAAACAAAATGGAATAAAATAGTTGATGCTGATCTTTTACCTCAGATGTGAAAAAAAAAAGGTAACCCTTTTGTTGCTAGTTACTCCTGTGAGATCAGGGGGAGGAAAATATTAATTTGAATTGATTCAGGAAGTTTGTAAAGAGATCACTCTTGCTACATCTTAGTGCAACTCCATGGAATTGACTCATATGCAAAGAAAGTACCCCATCACGATCTTCTGCCACAGCAGCAAGTGCATCCAGCCTTGTCTATTCCACTTAATTAGAACTTGCATTCAGGAACTACAACTGTAATTTTATCTGAATTTAGGTGAACAGTGGGTAGCCAAAAAAATAAATTTGGCAGGTTCTCCATTCTCAATGCAATATTTCCAGATATATTTCCACTCTGAAATAACATACTCTCTTATAACAACTAAAACAGCTGCTCAAAGATGGGGTAAAGGTCAGAACCTGTAAACTTTGCCCCTGTGTAAATCAAGAAAAACAATGCTTTCCTATCTTATCATGCAGGTGCTTTACAACACATCCACAGTTATTGCCCTGGAATTAAATTAGGGCAATGTAACATTCCTGTCGACTTTCCACTCTTCCCTACTTCCCACACATAACTTTCTTCCCCTGAGCACACAGCAACAACTGAACTGCATATAACTGATATATATACAACACTATATACATTTTTAACAGTCTGATATGATATTGTACACTAAATATCAATTCATTATTTTCCCAATAATAAAATTTGCATTTTATATGGATTCATACTCTTCCTTCCAATACATATTCAATTTCACATGAAATCACAGTCTTCCTTTTATCAGTGATGACTATTAATAGCTTATCTATGAAACAACCCCTCTTCCTTTCCATTAATGGAAGTAGAGTATATTATTCCACTTTAAGGATAAATTTCTATTAATCATTAACAAAAAGAAAAGCAGCTGTGCGATCCATAAGCAAAAGGCAAAATCAAAGTCGGGTTATGCCTTTACCAGACCACTGAAGTATTACATAAATCTATGTTTCTAAGTGAGTAGGACTTAGCCTGAGGAGGCTCAGTGGTTCCCAACCTTGCATAACCCACATATTCTTGGACTGTTACTCCCAGAAACCCTGTCCAGCGCAACTGATGGTGGAGGCTGCCGGGAACGGCAACCCAAGGGTTATCCAGGTTGGGAAGCACTGTTTTTAGAAGATCTAATGAAGGATTTACTCAACTTTGATTTTCTGCTAAGTTGGCAGTAGTTTTTAAGATGGACACAATCTTAAGACTGGTGAGAGAATCTTGAAAATGAGCAAGAAAACAACAACCTTACCTCGGGAGAAATACACTTTCTACTACGTAGAAGTCTTGCATAAGTACATCTCTGTCTGGTTTAGATGTGAGATTGCCCACCGTGTAGCCTATCCCCAGCTGTATGGCACCTTTAATAGCTGAGGAGGCAGTCTGCAAAGAAAGGTAAAACATTTTTAAGTGTCAGCATACCATACATATGTTTTCATTATATATAAGCATCTTACAACATTTTGTACAGACTGAACATCAGCTTCTTGGATCTCCTTCACCTATAAAACAATTTAGGTTATCTAAGAGCAGAGATTTCGACTCAGATCTGGGGCAAAAATCCTCAGAAATAATTTACTGTAATTGCTAGAGATGGGCACGATTTACCATATTTTCCTATATTTCCCCCCCACTTTTCTAAATCAAAATTTCTTTCTTTGCAAGAAAGTGTAGGGGGAAAGTTCCTGCTTTCCCCTTACGTTTCCGTTGCAAAAAGCAGTTTTCCCCCTCCACATTTTGCAAAGAAAATGTAGGGGGAAAGTAGGAATCTCTTTCCCCTCCATTTTCTTTGCAAAACGTGGAGGGGGAAACAGGGATCAAAGCACTTTGATTCCTCCCCCCTCCTTACCTCCGAGTATAAAACAACCCTCAATGTTTCCTTTAATTATTTTAGGAAAAAGTATCATTTTATATACGGAAAAATATGGCAAGTTGGCCTGGGGTGATGAAATTCTTCAGCACAGCACTACAGGTGCTGTGCTCTGCCCACCATGGCTAGCTGCCCCAATCACAAGCCTCTGTGTGCCACCTGGGTCATCCTCCTTCACCAGCTGCCCAGTCCAAGAAGAAGCTTGGGTTTCTCTTCCCTGACTCCTCCAGCGGCCAACCACTCAGATGAGGAGGCAGGATGGGGAATTTCCCTATGGAGCTGTTGAGTGGTCTGCTGCTGGTGGATGTGGGGAAGGGAAGCCCAAGCTCCTTCTTGAGCTCCTTCCTAGACTGGGCAATTAGCGAAAGAGGATGACCTGGGCAGGGGCAGCTGGCCAGAGAGTGGGAGGAGGGAATGTGCAGCATCTGTGGTGTTGTGCTGACAAATTTCATCACCCCAGACCAACTAAAGTCATGCCTATCTCTAATAATTGCAAATGGAAATCCAACATGCAGATGAGCTGCTGAGATATCTACAGGCACAGCAGCAAATTGAATGAATGACTATCTGGAACTTGCCGTCTCACAAACAATGCCTAAAGAAAGACTCTGATTTACATAGCTCTAAAAAAAACTTCCACGTAAAAAAATAAAATTAAGTCAAGGCTGTGCATGGACACTTCTCAACCAGGGCAGGTAGTCTCCAACAGAAAGGAGATATAGGACTCTCCAGAAATAGTTCCCATTATCCATAATACCCTTCAAGTACCATAAGAGAGGGTAGTACTAAGGCTAGAAGCAATTAAATACAAATAGTAAGTTGCTTGTATTTAATTCCTTTCCCTACAACTAAGATATAATTGCATTAAATTATAATTTGCCTTAATGAAGGATAACTATACTCCTTTTACTGCATAATGTAACTTTCTAGTACTTTTATATTTACAGGTGGGTACCTGGGGTGGAGAAGTATTACATGGTGCAAATGTTGGCTCAGACCAAGCCATCATGGCCTGTTGTGGGTGTTAAGGTGACAATAAGGTACAGGAGAGAGCAGAAACTGTGCTTCCTACCACAGGCCAGTATCTTGTAGCATTCAGATTTATCAAAAAAGTAATTAGAATGTAATTATTAGTCAAAATTATGCTGGCAACAGAAGAGTGGGCAAAGCTTTAATAAATGTGCACTTCACTGGGTTTTGATTAGCTGCACACAGTTTGCCACCTTTGGACAAAATTACTAAAGGTTGTGATTTTCTGTGGAAAATTACCACAGATATGATGACTCACTTGTGAAAAAGCAGATACTCACTTTGTTCAATTTCAGTGCTTCTACCCAGAATAAGCAAAAGCGTTCCAGTGAGCAATATGGTTAACAGGCTGAATGCACAGCAGAAAACAGCAGCAAAAGCTCAAGAAAAGGGAAGGGAAAAATAGACAAACCAAGACTTACAATGGTGAAAGAAGGGAGAATGACATAGGAAGTCGGAAGAAACAACGTCATGGCCACTAGTTTTTTTTTTAATGTAATGCAAAAGTGGCAGCATCTGAACAAACCTCTCGTTTCAGACATTAAAAATTCATACAAATCTTCTGAGTAATATTCTCTTGCATCCAGAGTCTTTTAGTTATCCAAGGGACACAAGAAACCGACAAGGCATTTTTATTAGATGAACTGGTTTTGAAAACTATTTCAGGTATGTTCACTCTTCATCTGCCACAGGTATTCAAAACAAAGCCAATCTGATTTTATGACGACTCTTGTCGAATGAAACCTATCTAAAGATTAAAACCACTGATTCAGCCAATCAGCTAGCAGAGAACTTATCATATTACATTATATAAGGTAAAAGTTGATCGGATAGCTCAATGAGTTAAATGTATCTGGCTGTGGAGCCAGAGACTGGAAGTTCAATTCCCCACTGTGCCTCCAAAGAGAAGAGCCAGCCTGTGTGGTCTTGGGCAAGTTGCACAGTCCCAACGGTGACCCCAGAAGAAACAGTAAACCTCTTCTGAGTACTCTCTACATAGAAAATCTTAAAAAGGGTTGCCATAAAGCAGACTTGATTTGATGGCACACAATTACTATTATGAAGGTTTAATACAACAACTAGGAAGACAGAACTCCATCCCCACCGCAACATTTCAGTTGGAATTTAGATAACTGTTGTACGACATATAATACAAAGGCCACAATTCACTAATCACAAATTCTGTGCAGCTATAGCTTTATTCAAATATGCCTGCAGAAGAGCAAATAAATGGTCTTCTATAATAGATTGAATAATAACAATGTTAGCGATTGTGGGCATCAACAGGTCCAGTGTATTTTGCTTATTTTTTTAAAAAAGCATTATCTAGTTTCAGCTTATTTGAAAGAAAAGCTATGTGTTGATAAAATAATTATTGTGTTCTTATTTAAACTAATGAATACTAAATCTTGGAAGTTGCATAACAGCTTCTAACAGGCAGTTTATTGAGAACAAGGCACAGTTGGTCATTCCTAAAATATAACTTTAATTGGTCAAGGAACTGAATGGATTCCTCACAAATTTCTAATTTCATGTACTGAAAAGGGCTTTATAAAAGATTAATGTCCTGCATGAGCCCTAAATTATGTAACTTTGATTAGTCTTTGTTTTTTTACTCAGCCTTTTTGTTAACTGAATCATCTTCTACAGAAAATGGATGCTAATTGAACCGGGTTCTTTGAAGAAACGCAAAACTCCTGATAAAAGAAAGATTCAGAGAAGCTGGGTATTAAAGTTGAACTGAACAAACTATATGAATGTCCCACACACGCTAGTTGAACTGGAAAGTTACTTTTTAAAGGTAAACTGTTCCTGTTGTGATAGTATTTTTTTAAAGAATGTAATTAGTAGTTGTTACTAGTTGCACTAGTTTTTAAAAGTATCCTGCTGCATTGCGTGTTACTTTTTGTTACTTTCGGTTCCTTTTTTAAAACACTCTCATTCTCACTCATACGACAATGGCATGAAGTTTGCAAAAAGCCTGTAAAAATTCACTTAAACAGTAACTAGGAAACATTATGCATTACGCCAATATATTAACTTTGCCTTGCTCATCAAGATATTTTTTAGATGTAATCATTATGTTTTGTTAACCCACAGAAAACTGGTGGCAGGTAAAAACATTATAATTGTTTTTTCCAAGCTCTGGATGTTAATCTATCTCTAGACTACCCTCAGTAATGTAATGTTTATGGATCAATTAGAGTGGCTGATATAGCAGTTAGCAAGCATTATTGTCTTGTTCAGTAATACTCTGGTCATGTAAGAAAATGCTCTCTTTAGGTACACATAGACAGCAAATTCTAGTTAGTCAACTCTAACTCCAGTAGCAATGTCACCAGACCGGAAAAAGCAAGTACCACAGTATTTAGCGGTAGACCACAGTGAAGGAGAGACTACTATTTCTATTTAAATAGACCCTTATACAGTATGAATATAAAGGGGAAAGGGCAAGCACCTAACTTAACACTAACTACTACTAACACTAAGTTCTGTAAGAAGTAGGTATGTGGGTGTAACGTCAATTTACACCCACTGTAGCTACAACAGTGCCAAGGTGGAAGTGCTAAACACAAAGAACTTCTGGCAGCATGTTGTGCAATAGTTGCAAAGGGAATTATGCAACTGACTGCACAACTGAATTTCACAATTCTCTGTTTCTTTGGCAAAACACCTGACAAATTTAAGCAGACATAAGTTTGTTGTGTCTGCACAAACAGATAGAAAGGAGCCTCTTTTTTTGCACAAAAGACAATGCTAGATACAACTTAGTGTGATCTGATAACACATTACATTGTTCTCTCTTTCTTGATGACATTTTCCACCATGCATATTGACAAGATTCAGAAGATGCATCCTGCATGTAACTCACAACAATCAGCATATGCAAATGTTTGTCTTAGTAGATTTTTGTATAACACAAATATGGCCCAAGTTAATTTCAAAGAAAGTAGGATATATTTTGACATTTGTGTACCTTTTTAAAAAACCAAAACCTTACTGTCTCAGAGTATAACGGCCTATCCTGTACGCTACAACCATACAGAATGGTTCTATATATGGCTCTCTATATCTCAACAAGCTTTGATGCTTCCAATTTATATAAAAGCCAAGCAAATCATCCATGACCCACTGGATTCAATAAGTTTGGGAGACCATCATGTTTAATTCTCGATATAATATCGTACAGGTCAACTGAACCAAGGTACATTACAACACGTAATGGATATGCAATGTCAGGGGGGAAAATGAAACCCACTGATCTGTTTAAATTATACAAGCATGTTAACTAGAAAACCAGTTCTAATAATGGCACTCCAAATCAATGTTTAATGTACCAACCTGTAAGTATTAAAGCCCGCAACAAAGCTACTATTTATGGATCTTTCATTATTGCAACAAAGCTATTATTTATGGACCCTTTCATTATAGCCCCTTCAATACCAGGATTTTTAAGACCTTTATCAACTTTAACAGGACATTA